TATATATAAAATATATAATATATATATATATATATATATATATATATATGTATAAATATATACGTATATGTAGACTTTAGTTTCATGTTACACAAGCGAGGTTTATACTGGACATTGGATTTTATTTACGACGGGCTCACGCGATTCCATTGGACACAAGACTCAATTAACCAAGTCTCTTATCGGAATAGTATCAGAGTATCACTACAGCCAAAACCCATAAGCTATAAGCTCGCTGATGCACTAATAAGCTCGTAAATTAATAAAGTCTATTGGGTCCAGTCCCTGGAGGAAAAGCGGCTTACGCTTTGCTAAAAATATGTTAAATATTAACTTTTGTATTTTCTTCCATTTAATTATTCATTCTTGTTTGATTATAATTAAGGGGCACTATTAGACTGAATGCATAGATGGCTCATTATTACTCGCTTTTCCGGCTAATTATTAATCTTACATGCACAAAGCCAACTTACTGTAGCATGTCGTTGGAAAATTCTTGGGGTTTAGTCGATCAAACGGAAAGATTTATTATGTTTGAGAGATATTTGCGGAGTACAGGTTTATTAATAAGCTGGAAGTTATTAATTATTCGAAGTGTTTATTTAAAGGGTGATTATTGGCGCGGATTTGAATTTTGAGGTTACTATATTTATGTGGTGACATCGGCTGTCAATACTTTGATATTTAGTATAAAGGATTTATAATGACAGGTTTCATTGGGGTAATTATCATTTGATATGCTCTTTCCGGAGAGAGTATTCTAAGATAGTGAGATATTATTAGATGAAGAATTATTAGTGAATTAATTCAATAATAATTTTTTATAAATATTTCATTGTTTTTTGGCCACTAAAAATCAAAAAATTATAGAAAATATAATTTTTTTATTATACTTATTCAATTTATAAGTCAGAAAAATTTGAAACTTATTTTTTCTTTCAAAGAAATATAAAAATTTTTATAAAATTTGTTTTGATGTTCTATTAATGATTTTAGATAATTTTTTAGATAAAAAAATTATAGAAAATATAATTATTTTATTATACTTATTCCATTTATAAGTCAGAAAAATTTGAAACTTTATTTTTCATTTAAAATTTTTTGAGTATAAAAACTTATTTTTTCTTTTAAAGAAATATAAAAATTTGTTTTGATGTTCTATTAATGATTTTAGATAATTTTTTACTATTTTTACATTTACATTACACAAAAAGAGAAATTTCTTGACTGGAGAACAAAATTCTTTGCTCAAGAAAATTTTCGGGTACCTGAAGGAAGACCGAAGTTGTGTTGGCCAAAGTAAAAATTTTTCTTGAAATTCTATTCTTGGTGGAAGTAATTTTTTCTAAATTCAAATTATCATAAATACTTGATACAATAATTTTTTATATTTGATCAAGATTTTTAGATACTTTAGGGAAGCAGCGCCGCCTACTTCAGGTGAGAAAAAAATTTTCTCACCTTGAGAAAATTTTTCTCTTGAATATTTGATACCCATTTTATATTATTTTAGCATGCAATTATACATATTGAATGAAAAAAAATGATTCAATATTATTTGATCTTCCCATTTGACATATTAATCAATAAAAATATTAATGAAAATTTACTTCTATCTTTATATTTAATTTTTTGGAGCAAGAGAGAAATTTTCTCAAAACAAGAAAATTTACTTCTATCAAGAACTAAATTTTTTGGAGCAAGAGGCTGAATTTTCTCAAAACAAGATTTTCTTGACTTAAATAAATTTTCTTGGATCAAGATACGTATTTCTTAAAGCAAGAGAATTAATTTTGTTGGAATAAGTGAAATTGCTTGTCAAAAAAAATTTTTTCTTTCACTCAAGAAAATAATAAGAAAGAAAAATATTTTCTTGGCTCAAATGAACTTTTTTTTCTGTGTAAAAATTTATCAACTTTTTTGTAAATTTTAACATATTATCGATTATAAAAATTGAAAAATTTTTAAATCAACAATTTTTCTTTTCATTCTTCTAGTTTCGATTTAAAAACCGCAAAAAAAAATTGTAAATTTTTAATAAATGATTTTTAAATTTTCCAAAAAAATAACTTTTCGATTTTTTTACAGCCAAAAAAAATTTAATTTTTTTCTACAAAAACTTTAAACCCCCAATTTTATAAAATTAATAAAATATTGATACAAAAAATTAAATTACTTCTCGGCATCTGTTTCGAAAGAGTAGCCGATCGAACTCGGGAACTTCGTTAGGCTCTCGCGTCCCGATACCGAGATTAAAAGTTAGGAAATAAGACGGGCAATAGTCGCATTGTATTATATAGAATTGGTTATTGTATACAGAGCGAGTTTAAGTGGTAATTTAGTTTCTGTTACGTAAGAGTGGTCAGTCATCCCCGAGTGAAGAGTGAAGGAAACCAAAGCTGCCGGGTTTACGAACTGGAGGAAAAGAAACTTATTTATAATGTATAGAATAAATGTATGAACAGAACGTGCATGTGTGTTTTCTATGTCTACGTACAGAAGTATACAGAAATACTCCTTTTACCTTTTTTTCTTGGTTGCTGACCATCAGCATGTGATTGTTGGTATTCCACTCGGTTTTCAGTTCTACCGAGAACATCCTCGAGTGCACCAGCTCGTCGCTGCGCTTCCAAGCGTTTAGTTTCCTTTCTTTCCTACCGACCTTTGTTTATTTCGTCGATCTTAAAAGTTATTAATTTTATTTTACTTTAAATGTAATTTTGTTTAAAAAAATTTTGTGCAAGTTTTGTAAAAATTTTATGTGCGCGAATTTTAATGTGAAATGTAAAAAAATAATTGATAATTCAACAATTGAAGGAAAAATAAAATGTGGGGTGAAATATTTATTTAAATATTATGATGCTAATTAAATAAAATATTATTTAAAGTTTTCTCTTTTAATTCGCGTTTTTTTAACGACGTAATATATGAACGGGAAACGCGGGTCTTTATTAAACTCTTGGGTTGAATGGTTCGATTCATACGAGTTGCCACGCGCATGCTCAATTCTTTTGAAATATTTTATTCGCACTCAAGTTATTTATTTATTTATTTTAATAAAGTAGCCTGAATTGAATGAATTATTTTTGTTAAGACGATCTTTATATTTGTTATTTTATTATCAATAATGTTTATAATGTAATCATGTTTTTTTCAGTTTGAGAGAACTTACTCTCGATCGTAATGAAATCAAAGAGCTGCCGGGTGAAGTGGAATTACTTAAGGAATTGAAAAGTATTTCTATTGCCGGAAATAAACTCACTGACGTGCCGTCTTTTCTTAAAATGAGAGCTCTAACTTTGGTAAATATATTTTTTACTTGATAATAACTTTTTAAATTTTAAGATGGAAATTTTTTTTTTTATAATTGGTACTTTCAAGTGTTGAGAAAATTATTATTATAATAATTTAATTTCCATCTTGATTATCACGTAATTTATTAGTTATTATGAAATAATTGCATTAGTGATTTTACGATAAATTAAATAAATCGGAAATTATTGATGAATAATTTATAAAATAAATTCAATGCTGGTAATTTGATATTTTATAAATGGAAATTGAATATTTTACTTTAGTATAATTATTTTATGATACAATTATATCGATATCAAAGTCGGAATTATTTATGATAATTACGATTAATTTTTATACTAAAAAGATTAAATTTACAGATATTATTAATTGATTTTAATAATTATTTAACACAATTTGTCTGGAAATTTTAGATGAACTTTGGAATAAATTAATGAAATATACAAGCCCTAAAAATTTCAAGTATTGATTAAAGATTTCACTTTTAATGCTGGGTTCAAGGTTGTACGGACACTAATGCACTTTTGAAGAACAGAAGCTAATTTTTTGATATGTTATGACTTGCTATCTCATACGTCTATATTAATTTTTTGGAATAGATCTGACGAAGGGTTTTCCTTTAATAAATTATTAAAAAATTGAAATTTAACATGTAGCCTATAGGGACTATTGGCGAATTGCACATATATCGATTTATGTGACTACCTCATAGGAAGATTAAAAAACAAAAAACTTCTATTTCAGTCAATCAATTTTCGTAGAATACGTTAAAAATAAAATGAAAATTTTCTGACGAAGGCTTTTAAAGATATTTTAAATTAAATTATTTTAATTAATAATAATGTAAGGTAGCGATTAAATTATAGTAATGAATTTTCGTATTTAAATTTTTAATTTTAATGAAAAAAAAATTTAGATTCTACTATGATTTACGGGGTATTGTCCGTGCAACCGTAATAAAGGCAATAAATAAATAAATAAAAATAATAGGACAATTACCGCTCGAAATAAAATTAAATTTTTCTTGGAGAAAATTAATCTGCAGAACTTTTCACTGATTTACTTCAAAAATTCTTAGCAATAAATAATTTGACAGAGAAAATAATTTAAGAAATTGATATATACACTTGTAAATAATTACTGGGCGCATATATTTATTCACATTAATTGATGAATTTAATGATTGGCTAAGGATAGAGAGGACTTTTATTTTTGAAATTAATTATTGGCCCAGTTTGCACCGGGCACACAAAAAATTGTCTTAAAGACTCATCAATTGTTCCCCTCCACGGAAATCTTTAGTAAAAGGCGAAAGATTTAAGCGTGTATTGAAGGGAAACCAGAGTGACGATTACTGTACAACAAATGGTCTATAACACTTCTGAGCCAAGTGACTACTTGGGGACAAGAAAAGTCGTTTCGGCCACCTCACGGCCTTTTTTCGAACCACCCCAAGGTTTCACACACTCACTTCTTCCCAGCTCGGTAATGCGCACGCAACGCGCGGTTTCTTCAAACAATTGATTTTACTTGCGCACTGCGAAACCTCAGACCACCCCTCAACCTAGTATACTGTTGCCGCTACGTAAAATAAACAAATGTTACTTTTCAGGATGTTCTTACAAAAGATCTCTCGAAATTTAAGGACGAGAAAAACAACCAAAACCACCTACATAAGGTTAATCTGAGGAACAACCAACTCAAGGGAAACATTATCCTTGGAAATTATGGCGTAAGTATTATGAACAATCATTAGTACTTATGTGTTGACAAAGTAATATTTATATTGTTATTAGTAACAAGTAACAATATTAATAATAATAAAAATGGTAATATAAAAAATTTTAAATCAAAGTAATTATTGTTATTAAAAATTTTTTTTAAATGAAATTAATAATAATAATAACAATATGATAAATTTTTAACTCAAAATAATTATTATTATTCAGCTTAAAAATTTAATATTATTATCAGAATTAAAATTTAAATTTTTTAATTAAAAATTTCAAGTGAATAATAATAATACTCATCTGTTGACTAAGTAATATTTATGTTATTATAACAATATTAATAATAATAACAATGATAATATAAAAAATTTTAAATAAAAGTAATTATTATTATAAAAAAAAATTTTTTTAATTAACAATAATAATAATAATAATAATATCATAAATTTTTAAGTCAAAATTATTATTTTTATTTAGCTTAAAAAATTATTATCATTATTATTGTTAAACATTATTCCTAAGATCGGTGATTTTACTTATTAAAGAGCATTTATTATTGTAAGCCAACTTTCTCGATCCAAATAATGGTAGACTAATTCAATTTTCATTTATTAACTATTTTCACCACACTATTGTCGGTATGAGCACTCATACCATCCTCGGGTGAATATATCTAATAATTAAAAATTTTGATTTTTTGAGACAATTTTAGTTAAGATTAAGTAAAGATGTTATTTTTTACTCAGTGAAACTTTTTTCGGTAACCGAAAAATTATTATTATTATAATTTTTTTTAACAATGTTAATATAACTTTTTAAAAAAATTTTTTTTTAATAATAAATAAATAAATAAATAAATACCTAAAATTATGCCTAATTAAACAAAAATTTTTTTATACAGAACTTGACTCACTTGGACGTAAGCGAAAATAGCATTGAAAAGCTAGACATAAGTGCCCTGCAAGAATTACAAAGCGCTAGATGTGCTCGAAATTCTCTAACAGAATTAACCGTATGTGGCCGAAACCTCGTCTCACTTATCGCAGGACACAACAGTAAGCATATTAACATAAATTTTGCATTTTATATAAATAAAAATAAGATTTTCTACAAAAAATTTCCCACTCTTTTTACAGGACTGAAAAAGCTGACGATAGAGCCGACCCCGACAAATTTGGAGCATCTGGATGTGTCGTAGTAAGTACATTGTTTATAATTACTTATACTTTCTATTCATTCCTCGAGCACGACAGAATAGCATAATGCGAGGCAGAGGATGAATTAACGGGAAGTTATTTAAATTTAAAATTGTGATCGCAGCAATTGTCTGGATGCATTACCCGAGTGGATATCAGACTTACCTGTACTTCGAGCGCTGTTTGCGTCACACAATGATCTCACTGCCCTACCTGACAGACTGCTATCTCAGCCCTCGAGACTGGAGGTGCTTCATCTCCCGCACAATAGACTCCAAGCACTTCCACCCCCGAGAAAACCTCTCAATATTGTTCATCTCACGCTCCAAGGCAATGCGTTGACAGCATTGCCAACAACTTTCTTTCAAAACACTGAAAGGTTAGTACTTTTGTTCCCGCAAATAATAAATCATAATTAACCTAAATATCCACATCATATCAGGAGTAAATTATTATTATTATATATTTTTTTTTCTTCAATAAACTTTATCAACTAAGAGCTTTTTTCATTGAAATAACTTCCGCGATTTTTTTTATAAGAAAAATTTTTTTTCGATGAAAAAAAAATTAACTTGACTCAAAAGAAAAATTTTTTATTTCAATAGCCCGGGTAAAAAAAAATGTTCACAGCTTGTAACATCAAAACATGACATAATTGTGAACATTTTTTGAACACGATAAAAAATCGAGAATGTTTTTAAATATGCAGTCTGGATTGATTGATAAATTTTGAGAATTTTGTAATTTTTTTTTAGACATTTTTTTTAAAATGTCTCAAAATTGTTCAAAAAATGTCTCAAAAGTGTTCAAAAAATGGCTCAAACGTGTTCAAAAAATGTTTTGAAATTTTTCAATCAATCCACACGGAAAAAAGAAAGATAGAAAAATTACATTATGTGGCGCTCCGTGATGAAAACTGGAAAAATTACAGTTTCAGAATGTAATTATTACAGATTTTATAAGAATTAAATTGTAAAATGTAATATTTACATTGAAAGTTCTGAAAATTAACATTCAAAGTTTGAATTTAGAAAAATGTTATTTCGAACTGTAATTTTTCTAGTTTTAAATACGACGGGACACTTATTACTATTTATAATGTAATTTTTTTGAGTTTTCTTTTTTCCGTGCAGACTCTGCATGTCTTAAAGCTTCTCAATTTTTTATTAAGTGTTCAAAAATTGTGTCACGTCTTGATGTTAAAAGCTGTGAACATTTTTTGAACAATTTTTCTTACACGGGAAAAAAAAATTTGAACTGAAAAATTTTTATTAACTTAAATAAAAAAAAAATTTTTGAACTGATAAATTTTCATTGACTAAAATAAATTTCACTTGATTGAAAAATTTTTTCTCTTTAATCAAATCGATATTTTGTTGAGTAAAAACTTTATAAATTACTACTTAAAAATTTCATATTAATTTGTGGGTAATATAAACCATAAAAAATTTTTTTTATCAATCCTTTGTTTTTTTTTTAGTTTATTATAAGATTTTTTTTTTTTAGATTAAAAGTTCTGAATCTTTCAAACAACCGGCTGACCGAGCTAATCTACAGCGAAGACACATCGAAGATCCGATCTGTTCATGCTCTCGAGAAGCTATATTTGACGGGAAACTGTCTCACAGACGCATCACTGGATGCACTTGCCAAGCTGACGTCTCTTCATGTTTTGCATCTGGCATATAATGTTCTAGATACACTTCCCGAAAGGTAAATACGGTTAATTTGCATCGAAACTTTTGGGGTAAACTTTTTAAATATTAAGCAAATCCGGTATCGGGAAATACTTAGGGAAAACTGATGGGATCGGATAAACATATCGTTTAAATTGATACGGCAAATTATATTTTAAACAGATTTTCTATCGAAATATTTTTTTAATAATTTTACTTAAAAAAATATTTGCTACATATTTATCCAAAAATTTATTTTAATGTTGAACACATTGAAAATTATTGTATTTATTTTTGTTTGTTTTTTTACTCAACCATATTTTTTTTATTAATAATTTCAAGCTACAATTTATTTAATTCAATTTACCCTATAAAATCCGTGAAATTTATCTATTATAAATAGCAAATAAAAATAACATTCTCTAAAGCTTTTTATCCGATTAAACATTTATTTACAATTTTATTTCTATATTTATATTGGAATGTTTTATCAATTTTCAATTTACCGCGAATAACATTCTGTTTGTGAATTTTACAAATTTAATTTAAAAAATATTAAATGTTATTGTAAAGAAAAAAAAATTTATTAAAATGAATGAAAAATTCAATAGAATATAAAAAAAAAAAAATCTTAACATAAAATTCTAAAAACAAAACTGCCCAACAGTTGTATCGCATCATGGCCCGATTTAGAAGAATTAGTCTTATCCGGCAACCGTCTGCAGTACCTCCCAGACAACGTCGCTAATCTCCAGCATCTAAGAGTCCTGAGAGTTCACTCGAACAGACTTTTGACCTGCCCTACATTCAACAAAACAACCTCACTAATGGTAAGTTAAAATCTACTCTTGCATTTACTCCATCACAGCAATATTAAATAACAACTTTTATAACTGTTCCTAGGTCCTAGATTTGGCGCACAATCAACTGGATCGCGTGAATTTGGCGACACTTGTGCCGCCCCAGCTGCAGTTTCTCGACATCTCTTGCAATTCCCGGTTACACGTCGACCCTCGGCAGTTCCAAGTTTACCGGTCTCAGCGCCCTGTTTCGCTGATTGACGTTTCCGGGCAGAACAGAGCCAGTTTGCCGTCGCATCCTTCTCAGCAGGAAATTGTCAGCTCGGAAAAAGGCCCCGAGCAGCCATGGAGGCTTGGATTCTCCGAAACTGCTGGGACTCGCGAAAAGTAAGTCAAAAATAAAAAAAAATTTCTTTTGGAAAAAAAATGAGCATTTTTGTGACAAGAAATTGATTTTTTTTAATCTATATTATTAAGAGAGAATAAGCAAAATTTTGTGACCAGTGTATTTGTATGATAAAATGGGTTTTTATGGTTAAATTTGGTATCGTTGGAAAAGTCTTGACCTGGAGTTGTGCCTTTTCAAGGTTTCATATCATTCTTACCGATAGTCAATTTATTATAAGTATTTAGGCTGCATTGCAAAATGCTCTATCTCTAGATACATAATTAAGAAATGACCTTGTATCTCGTGAACTATTGGCAGTTTCAAAGATATAAGCTCATCTCGATGTTACACTCATCAAGACCTTTCATTTGAATACCCACATCATTTTTTCATATATTTATATATTATATATATGTATATATGAAAAATATATGAAAATGCATGTGGGTACTCAAATGAAAGCTCTTGATGAGTGTAACATCGGGATGAGTTTATATTTTAAAAAACGTCAATAGTTGAGAAAGTTCAGGACATTTTGACCAATATTTTGTGAACTATTGACATTTTTCAAGATATAAGCTCATCCCGATGTTACACTCATCAAGACCTTTCATTTAAGTACTCACATCATTATTTCATATATTTATATATATTATACATATGTATATATGAAAAATATATCAAAATGCATGTGGGTACTCAAATGAAAGCTCTTGATGAGTATAACATCGGGATGAGCTTATAACTTTAAAAGTGTCAATAGTTAAAAAAGTACATCGCAATTTAACATAATTAAGAAATGACCCTGTATCTCGTGAACTATTGACATTTTTAAAGATATAAACTTATCCCGATGTTACACTCATCGAGATCTTTCATTTGAGTACCCATATCATTTTTTCATATATTTATATATATTATATATATGTAAATATGAAAAGTATATCAAAATGCATGTGGGTACTCAAATGGAAGCTCTTGATGAGTGTAACATCGGGATGAGCTTATATCTTTAAAAATGTCAATAGTTAAGAAAGATGAAAGCTCTTGATGAGTGTAACATCGGGATGAGCTTATATCTTTAAAAATGTCAATAGTTAAGAAAGTACAGAGTATTTTATCAAATATCTTGTGAATTATTGACATTTTTCGAGATATAAGCTTATCCCGATGTTACACTCATCGAGATCTTTCATTTGAGTACCCATATCATTTTTTCATATATTTATATATATTATATATATGTAAATATGAAAAGTATATCAAAATGCATGTGGGTACTCAAATGGAAGCTCTTGATGAGTGTAACATCGGGATGAGCTTATATATATCTTTAATAAAGTCAAAAGTTAAAAAAGTACAATGCAATTTAACAAAAGTCATTATTTAATAAAGCTACATTTTATTTATTTATAGTTCACAAGTCATGGCAGTCACATAGTGACTGCAAGGTTGTTAGTTTTATTTATTAGCTGAAAAAATAAAAATTTTTTTTACACTAACTTTCTTTTTTTAATTTAGAAAAAAACAATTTTAAATAAACAACTTACGAATTTTTATCCAAATTTTTATTTCAAATTTAGAAAACTTTTTCAACAAAAAAGTTACTGTGAGAAAAATTTTCATTCCTTCAACTAAATCAAATTAACTTATTACAAAATTGCTCATTTTTTTTTTTTTTTCAAAAAAATAATTTCTTTCAACCCACCAAATTTATTTTCCTAAACTAACCTAAAAAATTTTCTAGACTATACATCTCGCAAGTAAGAATGCCCTCATTTTGCAACACAGAAGGCCTCTTTGGAATATTCGATGGCGGTGTGAACCAAGAAGCGCCGAGCACTCTCCAAGAAATGATTCCCCGCGTGCTGCTCGAAGAAAGAACAATCCGAGAGACCTCAAAGGACTACCTAAAATACACCCTGCTGTCAGCGCACCGTGAACTGAAAGAAAAAGGTCAAAAATACGGCGTAGACGCGACTTTGTTGCACATAACAAAGCTTCCAGCTCCCGGAGGGTATCCACGAAGCGCGCGGAAGTACTGCTTAAAAGTAGCAGCTTCTGGAGAAACGAAGGCAGTGCTGTGTCGCGCTTCCGGGCCGTTTGTTCTTGCCCCAGCCAGGAAGCCGCCCCCGACCAATCAATTGGGAAACGCCGCCATGTTCCCGATGGTAGTTCCAGACCCGGTTTCCGACGAAGTAATTCTAGAAGACGATGACGAGTTCGTTTTGATCGCGAATCGCAAGCTGTGGGAAGTTCTGACGATGCAAGAGGCAGTTCGCGAAGTTCGAGCGGAGGCGAGTCCTGTTCTGGCTGCCAAGAGGCTCCAAGATCTGGCGCAGGCTTACGGAGCGGAAGATAATTTAAGCATAATTGTCATCAGACTGACTCCCGGGTCCGGAGACTTGGACCAATTAATGCGCGAACTGAGACACGCTGTTACCAAAACTAGGAACGGGAATCTGCCGGAGAGCGGGTGCGCATGTCCGTGCTGCGTTCCGCCGGTTCCACACAAGTCTCCCGCGCCGTGTTGCTGCCACGGAAACGCAAATGAAAGTTTCTATTTAAATGGAGTTCTGAAGAACATTGTCAATAGATCAGCTGGCGGCCAATCACGACAAGGCTCCGGGAGGTATTTCAAGAACACGAGAAGCGAAAATGCCAGTCCACCGTTCAGGGACGACCGGAGCTCCCCTAGCGGGCAGTCGGACCAAACAACTGATAGTACTTTCAAGTCGAGGCAGAATTCTGGAAGAGCCTGGGTCGGAAGCACTGCCGCGAGAGCTGCGAAAAGCAGGAACGAGTCCGCGAGAAAGGACAACCTGAACACTGCGGCTTTGAGCGAGGAACAGTTCCGCTGCTGGGAATACATGCTGGAACAGAACACCCACATGCTGTTCGATAAGGAACTTGATACTCTCACCAGGCTGCCCTTGAGGAGAGGCCAGTCCAGGTCCACTCCCCAGCTCGCGAACTTGCCGTTCTTGTCCAAGCGGTTCGGAAGCGCCAGGTCGTTTAATCCTCCTGTTTCTAGACCGGCTATGATTAGGTTCGGGAGCGGCAGGAGGTTCCTCAACGGCGGACCCAATGCGGCCTATTTTGGAAGCTTGCAGAGATTGATGCCATACAATTTGGAGTACGACTTCGCGGTCATTCAAGAGCGGGGGCTCGATTCTTTGGAACAAGACGCTTCAAGGATGCAACAGTACTGGGGGGTCGCTACTACTGAGTTGTAAATTTTTTTTTCGTTTGTATAGATTGTAAAGATTATTTTTTTAATGATTTTTGTAAGTTTTTGTATATATAAAATAGATGTTTTATAAAAAAAAAAAACATTTGTTTTTTATTGGAGTTTGTTGATAAGATTGAAGTAATTAGTTTGCTGAAGCTTGATAATGTTATCTTGTTTGACTAAAGTGTTGTAAAAGTTAGACTCGATTGGAGTTGATAGTTTTTTAATTGTCTGATTTTTAAAAGAAAATTATCTATATTATTAAAGAGAATAAAAAAAATTTTGTGTCCAAGATAGTCATATGATAAAATCGCTTTTTTTAGAGAAATTCAGTGTCATTGTAGAGGTCTTGACTTAAATTTGTGCCTTTTCAAGGTTTCATGTCATCCTCACCGATAGTCAATTTATTATGATAAGTATTTAGACTGCATTCGAAAATTCTCTATCTCTAGATACATAATTAAGAAATGACCTTGTATCTTGTGAAATATTGACAATTTTTAAGATATAAGCTCATCCCGATGTTACACTCATCGAGACCTTTCATTTGAGTACCCACATCTATTTTTCATATATTTATATATATTATATATATGTATATATGAAAAATATATCAAAATGCATGTGGGTATTCAAATTAAAGCTCTTGATGAATATAACATCGGGATGAGCTTATATTTTTAAAGATGTCAATAGTTAAGAAAGTACAGTACAATTTAACAAAAGTCATTATTTAATAAAGCAAAATTTTATTTATTTATAGCTCACAAATCACGGCAGTCAAATAGTGACTGCAAGGTTGCTAGTATATTTATTTATTGATAGTAAAAATTAGATTAATTGACTGATAGAAGAGATTTTTAATTTTTTTAAAATTAATTTATTTAGAAATATTTTAAGTATAAAAAGATTTTTTTCAATTTAGTTAAAAAAAAAATTTATTGACAATAAAAAAATTTGAGTGACTGAAATTTATATTTAAGCTTTAAAAAAAGCCAAGAAATAAATAATTTCTAGATAATATAATATAATTCCGTATATTTAATTTGACGTCACTAAAAAAATTGAAATAAAAAATAATTACTCTGTAATTATCAGATTAAACAACGTAATTACATTTATAATTTGTAATAAATATATTTGCAAAGTACTATCACAAGCAGTACGCTGTTGTGCGTGAAACGAGACACATGTACAGCGCAGTTTATATTTAAACATGTTGACACATAATACTTAATGTTAATATCATTACTAAAGTTTATCATGTGAAAATTGTCGTGAAATTTTATTACTTTCCCCAAACAACAATAATAATATAAAAGTTTCGTGGGTTAAACACAAGACTCATGACCAAGGTAAGAAACTTTTTCCCAAGCGATTAATATCGATCAAGTAAATAATTGCTTGCATAATTCATTCCAATGTCAAGGTCGAATTTGAAAAATTTTTCAATAAAAATTTATATTTTCGTTGACAATTTTAGTGATTAATTTTTCAGGCTTGGAATTTTTTTTTTAAATAAATTATTGGCAAATAAATTATTTAAATGATCTAAAGACATGATTTTAATTTTAATTGTAATTGCAATTAATATAAGACACGAACGCAATTATATTATTTACACAATGGCAATGACAATGAGTAGACATAACACGCGTAACTCGAGACAATACCAAGTTAATCTAATTTTTTTGTTTCAATTCGAGTCAATAATTACTACTGACTATTTCCCGATTCGATAAGCATGGTCACGTGCATTACAATATATCATTTGAGTCATATCGAGGCCGCAAAAGTAATTCTTGAGAAAAAATTTATTTATTTATTTATTATAATTCTGTTTTTTATTTTTTCAAGTTCTAATGCAAATTTTTGTTTATTTATTTATCTATTTATTGCGATGCTTTGTTGAAGTTAATTGACGACCCAGTGCAAGTGCAGAGACACTCTTTTTTATTATTATGCGTTGAACTTGTTCCAACATAAATTTCAATGTCATTCTATTTATGTGTAATGCAATTAAGTCCCTTGATAGTTTGATCACTTTATATTTATTTATTAGTGATAGAAAATATTTAATAAATAAATTCAATTTTAAAATTAAAAAAAAACTTTTTTAAAGATTAATTTTGGTTCAAAGGTCATTAAAGTGTAGTTTACTAGAAATAATAATAAATAAATACTTCATCGTTATATCACGCGACAACGCGACTGATAAAAAGTAACATTAACTCTTTGTATGTAATTTTTGTTGACAGAAAAAAATTTAAAATTCATGAGTTTTTTTTGTCTATACAAGTGTTAAAAATATTTTTTTAGATAAATTTGAATAATAAAGATGGCTTAAGTACAAATAGAAGATAAGAAAAAAGAAAGCACGTGCGTTTGTAAATGCACGTGTTCTGATGCATACCAGCACATGTGACATTTGCGCGCATGACTCTTTAATATTGTTATCAACATAATAAAGTTATCTTCATATTAATAAAATAAATAAATAATTTTATAGAAAATTGTAAATATATTATTATTGTTTCCTCATTACTGGTCTGCTGATATCGCAATTTAATGTCTTTTACAATAAAAAAGACGATAATAAATAAAGCTATTATTATTATTATTATTAGCTGTTACTCGCCCGCTCCACTGGGCGCTTTATAAAATTGCATTTTTAGATTTAGACTTGAAATTTAATTATAGTATTGTTTTGACTTGCACAGATTCCCAATTCTGTCAAATTGGTATGCACCTTTTATCCATGTAGTTATTCTAGCTAATATTCATTGTAACTTTCAATGTGCAATCATTATAACATTCGTGTCTTTTTTACGAAAATGAATAATAATTGATATGAAAAAAAAATTTTTAATGAGCATTGAAAGTTTCAGTTGAAGAAATTGCATGTCTCATAAGTGAAGAAATCTGCCTAGTATGTAAACATAACTAATAGAATTAAAAAATTTATTTTATAAAAAAACGACAATCGAATAGAATAAATTTAGTTACAATAAAAATTCATTATTTCTAAGTCAAAAAAATATAGGTTCCGGATATGTAATCACCAATACAAGATATTATATACTAAAACCTTCTCCGAAATACCCTGCATCTTATGATATAAGTATTATTCCGATTGGTTCAGTAGTTTTCGCCGTATATAATATAAATTCTTAGACAAAAAAGAAAAAATTCTTAGATAAAAAGAATAATTAGATTAAAATTATCGTTAAGATAGACCGGATTGCCAATGAATAAATTCAGAATAAAAAATTAACCGTATTCATGAAATAATATTGTATTATTATTATTATTATTATTATTATTATTATTATTATCGGTTGAAAAATTTTAATAATAATAATAATAATAATAATAATAATTTTTAAGCTAAAAATATTATTAAAATTGATACATGAAATGTCGCTAAAAGCGTAATTTAGATATTTCCGGGTTAATGTGATCTGGTACGATATATATATTGTTCATATATATTACATTCGTGTTTTATATTTATGTATATCAACTCCCCTGACGCGATGTCATGTCATTACTGAAATTTTTTTAACAAGGATTTTCCTGTTCTGATAATAACAACCTACTCGATATTAAAGTCATTTTTTAGATATAAATAGCCTCCAGATATTATCATCATTTTTATGTAATTAAAACTTTTTTCGCTTTAATAACAGACATTAAATAGAAAACATGTTAATTAAAGAAGAACTAGGTTTAATTATTATGAAACATCAAATTTTCACCACCTAAATCTATTTTTTTTTTCATTCTAAAAAAATTAATTTTCATCATCTTGACCTGTCATCTGAAAATTTTCATTTTTTAAGAAACAAACTGCAAAAATAAATAAAAATCAAACTTATAAAAACTAATATAGTAATTTGTTTGTAAAAAATTCAAAATTTTCAGATTTGTGATTTTAGGATCATCAGTTTCATTTAGCATGTATCATCAAAAAACACTTACTCAAAAAACTGGAACTAGATCTGAAAAGAAAAAACCGCACAATTAATAATTAATAACCTAAAAATAATAATTATAATTTATTTATGACAATAAAATTGTTTAAAAATAATTTTTCCTGAAAAATTTATTTGTTAAATAAAATGAAGAAATAATTAAGTGATTGCTAACTTTAATGTCATTATTTAATGAAAATTAATTTAGCAAATATTTAATATTTTTTTTTTATGAATAAATTATGGCAAAAAAAATTGACATGTCAAAAAATAAAATAATTTTTCGGAAAGAATTTTTTTGTAAAATAAAATAAAAAAATGATCAAGTAATTGTTAACTTTCACATAATTATTTATTAAAAATTAATGATACTGAAATTAGCAGACATTTAACAATTTTTGGAATTTTTATAATGACATTAAAGTTAGCAGTCGCTTGACTATTTTTTTATTTTTTTATTATTATTATTATTATTATTATTATTATTATTATCGGTTGAAAAATTTTAATAATAATAATAATAATAATAATAATAATTTTTAAGCTAAAAATATTATTAAAATTGATACATGAAATGTCGCTAAAAGCGTAATTTAGATATTTCCGGGTTAATGTGATCTGGTACGATATATATATTGTTCATATATATTACATTCGTGTTTTATATTTATGTATATCAACTCCCCTGACGCGATGTCATGTCATTACTGAAATTTTTTTAACAAGGATTTTCCTGTTCTGATAATAACAACCTACTCGATATTAAAGTCATTTTTTAGATATAAATAGCCTCCAGATATTATCATCATTTTTATGTAATTAAAACTTTTTTCGCTTTAATAACAGACATTAAATAGAAAACATGTTAATTAAAGAAGAACTAGGTTTAATTATTATGAAACATCAAATTTTCACCACCTAAATCTATTTTTTTTTTCATTCTAAAAAAATTAATTTTCATCATCTTGACCTGTCATCTGAAAATTTTCATTTTTTAAGAAACAAACTGCAAAAATAAATAAAAATCAAACTTATAAAAACTAATATAGTAATTTGTTTGTAAAAAATTCAAAATTTTCAGATTTGTGATTTTAGGATCATCAGTTTCATTTAGCATGTATCATCAAAAAACACTTACTCAAAAAACTGGAACTAGATCTGAAAAGAAAAAACCGCACAATTAATAATTAATAACCTAAAAATAATAATTATAATTTATTTATGACAATAAAATTGTTTAAAAATAATTTTTCCTGAAAAATTTATTTGTTAAATAAAATGAAGAAATAATTAAGTGATTGCTAACTTTAATGTCATTATTTAATGAAAATTAATTTAGCAAATATTTAATATTTTTTTTTTATGAATAAATTATGGCAAAAAAAATTGACATGTCAAAAAATAAAATAATTTTTCGGAAAGAATTTTTTTGTAAAATAAAATAAAAAAATGATCAAGTAATTGTTAACTTTCACATAATTATTTATTAAAAATTAATGATACTGAAATTAGCAGACATTTAACAATTTTTGGAATTTTTATAATGACATTAAAGTTAGCAGTCGCTTGACTATTTTTTTATTTTTTTTAATAAATAAATTTGCTCCGAAAAATTATTTCTAAAAAATTGGATTTTTTATTCTTTTAATTTTCTAAAAGTGAATTTTTTTTCTCATTTTCTTTGACATAATTTATTTGTAAAAAAAAATTCTTAAAATTATAAAATATCTACTATATTAATTTATATATTTTTATAACCAATTAATTATTATAAAAAACAAATTTTTAAAAATTTGCATTAATAATTTTTTGAAATTTCTACATATGGATTTTTTTTGCCAAATTTTTTTCATTGTAATTTAATTGTTATAAAAATCTAAAAAATTGTTAGATTTCTATTAAATTCAGTGTCATTAAATTAACAATTAAACTTACATCTCCAAACAATAATATTTACATTTTCAATTCGAAAATCACCTTCTCCCGACAATGACGTAGCATCCGACGCGAAGCACAAAGCAGCGTTGCCATATTGATCCCACAAATCACCAAGTTCCGAGACCCCGACGTTGCCGTGTGCACACACGACAATTACAACTAAATTGCACATTTGTATACACCAACACAACACACACACTCAGTTCACTTTTTTCCGCAGCAATACATACAGTAAATAGTGTCTATAACAGCAAGTGATTTGTGTACAACTTACAACAGTTACAGTTCACTGTTCTAGCTCAGTTTTTTTCTTGATCTCAAGAATAATTGCGTTAAAATTTATTCACTCACGAGTATGTCGAAGACTCTAGTTGAATTAAAATTTTCACGGGTTATGGAATTTGATCCTGAGTTATTAGTAAAATAGCCTGATATATTGATTATTATTATTATTATAAGTATAAATATAAATATAAATATTTTATTTCTGCAGTTTTTAGTTTAGACAAAAAAGTTGTCAAGTTTTTTGAAAGTGTCTCGATAGTTTTCTTTAATACTAATTCATTTTTACGGTAATTTTTACTCAGTGACTTTTATTTTTATTTTTATTAATATATATTTTATAAAATAAATTTTATATTAAATATATAAGGTTGAAAGAAAAAAAATTATAAATTTGTGAAATTAAAAGTAGATGGAGTTTTTTTTTTTTTTTTGGTTTAATTCTATTGGCTGAAAAATATTCGGACGAAATAAATAAATACTAACCAATAAAACTTTCATCTTGTGAAATCATTATTGTTATTATGGGTGAAATATATTTATATTTAAAATTTTAATTGTTTAATTTATTTTTATTATTGTGATTTGTATTTTTAAATGTCAAAAAAAAATTTTTTATTAATTATAAATTTAATTATTTTTTAGAAAATAAATCCGAACGTAGCTGCAACTCGAAAAAATTACAAGGAGAGAGTTCAAGAATAAGTAACAATAGACATTTACATTCCAATAAATATTTAGACATGAAGGGTACTAAGAGAGATTGGTTTTTTCGTGTTCAGGTAATTTATATTTATATTTTTATTTGTTTTATTATCATTAATAATTATAATACAAAAGTTAGCCGACGTTTTTTTTTGTGATTATTTTTTAATCATTTAATTAATACTACAAAATATTTTCCAAAAATTGCACGTGTTTTTCAAATTTTTCACAGATGAAAATTTTTTTCTTATTTTTTTTGTAATAATTTTTTTAATAAAAAAATTTATTAAATTTGTCAGATGTCGGTTAACTTAATTTTCATTTAATAATTAATGAAAATTAAGTTAGCAGACATTTAAAAATTTTTAGAATATTTTTTTATTGAAAAAATAATTACAAAAAAATAAAAAAATTTCATTTGTAAAAAACTTGAAAAACTGTAAGTGCAATTTTTAAAAAATATTTTTTTGCTCTAATTTAATTATTAAAAAAAATCAAAAACGTCGGATAACTTTAGTATTATTAATAATTTTTATTTTTTATTTTATGATGAAATATGGAGCGACAATTTATGACTCAAATTTTTCAGAATAATAATTCAATTGTTAGAGACAAAAAATGAATTACTTTTTTTTAGTTCAAAAAAATTCTTATAAAATAAAAAATTATATTAATTGTATGTTTAAATTAAATTTTTAATTTTTTAATAATAAAATATTTTTTTTAGGTCCCAGGATTAGAAAAAAGTGACTTTGTGTATGTAGTAGGAAATTTACCAGAATTAGGAGCTTGGAATCATAACCAAGCAATCCAACTCCATCAAGAAAATAATCCAAGTCCGACAAACTCAACTCCCTTTGAAAATAGTGAAGACACTTTTTCAAATGACGGCGCATCTGATAATTTATTTTGTGATAGCAAACAGTATGTTCTTATTTTTATAATCAATTATTTAAATATTTAATTTGTTTTTTTTATGAGTAGAAATGACCGGGTCTTCTCTTTGAAAATTTCGCTACCAACTGATACGGACATTGAGTTTCGTTACTTTATCGCGGTGGTCTGTCAATCTAACAGCACTAAAAATTCAGCCAAGACTTTAATCATTCGGAAATGGGAGACACATATGAGCCCAAGATTATTAAAAAAATCTAGTATGTATATTGAGAGAATAAATAAGAAAGACAAGTTGGTATGGTAAATTGTATGGAGAATTAATATTGATGATTAAATGTTTCAGCGCCGAGTAATTTTACTGATGACTTGATACCAGATCCTGAAAAATTTGGCTATTACAATGGATACTATAAAGTTGAGCGGGGGTGGTTGACCGATGAAACAGTTATGCAATTTAAATTGTTTAATAATCCTATTAAAATATGGAAGAATCGATTACAGAATAAAAAATTGTATATTAAGGTATTTATTATTATTATTATTATTATTATTATTAAAATCCTAGTGCAATATTATCTAATATTTGTCAATTTTTAAATTTACAATGCTAAACGTCAAGGGCAATTCGAATTTTCAAATTTTTAATTAAGCTCCAATTTTAAGTTTAAAATTAAAATCAAAAACTGTAACTGAAATCTTATTACTCAAAACGTGCAATTGAAAGCTAAGAGACCTAAAACAGCTATCATATTATTACTTATTTCTACTAATAGCACCTTTGAGTGCATCTGTACTATTATTATTTTTTGTAACCTTATGGTCGTCAGGGGACATAGTCCTACGATCAATTAAATAAAGCATTACATTACATTACATTATTATTAATAATTTTTAATAAAAAATTAACATTGTGTCTAAAAAATGTGAGATACAATAAAATTGTTAAGGACCATTTTTATAAATAATTATTGTTATTTAATTTTTTTTTTAATAAATTAGATGACACCAGTAAATCTAGTCAGACACAGTTCATTGGAATTACAGCAATTTACTGGTGAGTGTGTTGATGATAGTCTTTCGATGGATACTCAGGATATTGTTGATCAGCCAGCATTTAGTATTACGGAAATAAGTGTAAGTTTTATTCTATTTATAATATCATTATATTTTAATTGAAACGTCAATATAAAATTACTCAATATTTTATATAAAATAGTTTTTATAAAAAATATAGAAGTGTCTATTCAGACGTAAAAAAATTCTAATATTTAGATGCTTTTGTATTCACAACTTTTTGCATCTCTTTAAAATTATATGGTTTAACTAAGAATGTTAAAATTATTTATGTTTCTGACACTAAATAGTGCAATCTCCAATATGTCTCTTAGCGAGATCTATTTATTATAGCTAGCTAAGATAAAATTAATATTATTTATTAGAATTATGTTACAGTTTTTTTATTATATTTTTTAACCTGTATTAACATTTATGTAACTTTTGTTTGTGGAAAAATATTCTGATAAATCCATGCAGTGTGGATTCATCAGGATTTTTTTTATGGATGAATAAAAATGTCCAAAAAATATTAATTTATGAAAAATCTTGCAGGTAATGAATGATGATGAAGCTACCTATAAAAATCAAGAACAATTCGGACGAGCTTATGAAGACGACGAGTTCCTAACTTTCAGTGTCGCCGTTCGTTATCCAGAAACCATCGTGAGTATAAAAAATTTTTAATTTAAATTTAAAATTAGCAATTAAAATTTTTTAAAGGCTGAATCGTAATAATTTTTTAAATTACACTAATAATAATTTATAATAATAAATTTTTTTTCTATTAAATAAGTGAATTATACAATTATTGTTTATTTTCTCAGGCATATCTGGTGGACTACTACGTCTACGGCTCCAGAGTTTTTCCTGGAGATTCTCCACCAGAACATATAGGGTTCAGTTACATTTTACCTAGTACTCTGGCAGGAAGTGTCGGTATTCTGACAATTCCAATCACCAGCACTAAACATCGGCCTATTGGTACTTAATATCTATAAAATTTATTATACTAAATTTTAAAATGTTCTTTATTTTGCTTATTTATTTATTTTAGGGCAATTAACTGTTGAGTATGTAATTATCAAGCCCATACCAGACTACCCATGGGACATGAGTATTTCTTACGCCAAACACTGGGAGGAAAGATGGTCAGGTCTGGATGTGGGACATCGTGGACTTGGAACTTCATTCAAGTGTGAAATGAAGAAGTAAGTATTTTATTTTATTAATTTTATTCTTCAAAAATTTTTTTATCTCTGTAATTAAGAGAATAAGATAAAATTTTTTCTCTGGTAAATAATTAATTATATGTGTCAATTTTTAATCCATATAATTAAAAGATGCTAAATTTAACATCTAACAATTTAAAAAATTTTTTTTACATAAATTACAATGAAAAAAATTTTCACGAATAAAAATTAAAAAAAAAAATTTTTTTTTTTTTTTATAGTCATTGATTTGTTATAAAAATTCCAAAAATTTTCAGATGTCTGTTAATTTCAGTATCATTTTAATTAAATAGAAAAAAAAAAAAAATTAGACGGACATATTTTTATTTTAAAGAAAATTTTATATATTTTTGAGTAGTCAATTTTTTTTGAGAAATTTTGAATATTTTTTTAGTTTTATGAATTTATTCTATACTTATTCATTAAAAAATTAATAATTGATCTTTGAAAAAATGATATTATTTTTAAAATTAATTTATAATCATTATAAGCTACTAGTGTACTAATTTTTTTTTTTTTTAATTTATTTCAGCTGCGCAAATGTAAGAGAGAACACAATCGCTTCGCTAAAAACAGCGTCTCACCACGGCGCAGACATGGTAGAGTTCGACGTCCAGTTGTCCAAAGATATGATCCCAGTAATTTACCACGACTTCCATGTCTCGATTTCAATGAAGCGGAAGAAGCAGATCGACGCGATGGACATGCTGGAGATCCCCGTGAAAGACCTCACTCTGGAGCAACTTCACCTGCTCAAAGTAAATTAATAAATTAATCAAACTTGAGAAAAAAAAATAATAATATTAATAATAACAATCGGTAAAACTTTTCACCGCCATAAATTATTTTGTTTATTTTGTGTCATTCATGGGTCACTGGTAGTTGAGTTTAGCCCAAGCCCTGTTATGTATTTATTTAAATTCCAACAGGATTTTTGTTATCCAGAGGACTCGATGGGTAAAGTGCTGTATTTCTTTGATAAAGATGACTGGGGTATTGACAAAGTGGTGAGATGCTTGCGATGTAACCAAACTCCAACAATCCTTCATAATATCAATTCTTATCATTTCACTAGTTTAATTTTATTATTGACTCTTAAGGAGGAACACCACTGTGACGGTCGTAAAAAAGGTGATTTTCGGGAATTTATTTGACAGGGAAAATAAAGGAATTTGCGGATCGGATTTTTTTTATTTTATTAAGGGTACATTAAAGATTATTACCCTACATTTTTATTAAAAAATATTTAATTATTACAAAGTTATTAACAATCTCGTCGAGCACTGGAGAAAATTTCCCCCTCCATGGTTGCACCGATAACTCAAAAGCGGATCATCTGAAAATAAAAACCCAAATTGATTTTTAATCAGTAAGGATGTAGTTATCGTTGCAAGTATGGAATTTTAAAAATTTTGATTTTAAAGATTTTTTTAGCCGGGTTAAAACAAAAAAAAAAAGTAAAAATACTGAGAAAATTTTTCAATCAGTCGCCATTTTTTTTTAAATTAAAATTTTCAAAATTCCGTACGTACGACGATAACTACATTCTTACTGATTAAAAATCAATTTGGGTTTT